CTTACTGTGTCATGCATACTTAAGGGTGTATGATATCTTACTGTGCCATGCAGACTTAAGGGTGTATATCTTACTGTGTCATGCAGACTTACGGGTGTATGATATCTTACTGTGCCATGCAGACTTAAGGGTGTATATCTTACTGTGTCATGCATACTTAAGGGTGTATGATATCTTACTGTGCCATGCAGACTTAAGGGTGTATATCTTACTGTGTCATGCAGACTTACGGGTGTATGATATCTTACTGTGCCATGCAGACATAAGGGTATGTGATATCTTAACTGTATCATGTAGACTTATTTAGGGTTATAGCTATCCACTTCACCTGTTGACTGTCCAGATATCTCTCTGGTAGTCTCCAAATTTATTCCAAATAAAAAGAGGCTGAAAACTTTATTTTTCAAATACTATTCAAAATCAAGCATAATACATTAGTCAAAACGCAGCTTACATCATTCTACATCACAAATAACAGGGAGTAATTGTAAGCAGGCAAACTCCAGGAGAACAATTCTACACTGTGTATCTTCTTATTGTTGTTTGACTATGTACTATGTTTAGTAATGTTGTGTGACTTCTCAAGTCCAAAAGGCTCTCTAGCCTGGGGCCAAGCAGAATCCAATTACAGATATTGTAACCTGATTATTCCTTTCCATGTTAGGGCTTCTCAAGGAATTACTACAATAAACTCCAAACTGGAAGGCTCTTATTGATCAGCAACAAGGGCAATAACTCTGTTTATTCTTTCTTTTATATCTGATCTGGCTTGAGATTGAAATAACAAGATTATATATTCTGTTCATAGAAAAACACTTCAGCTCATTCTGTTTGTAATCAAAAGAGTAACCTTTAGGCCAGATTTTGTACATAGGAATTGAAATGAGGACAAGAATTTGACCCAGACAGAGCTATACTCGGCTAACTTTAATCATTCCATGTTTTAGTGAGAAGCCTTTCACAAGTAAAATACAGAAAGCTGTTTCATAAAAAAAACTCTACACACTATCCATTTCCAGGTACCAGCATGGTTGGTAAGAACTTAATCATTATACCAGAGGAGAAGTCAAGTTTTTAATTTTTCTCAGACATGGATCACCGAGGGCTGTCTCTAGCAGTTATATCAGTTGATTTATAGTTTTTTGTCACTCCTACATAAAGAGAAGGCAGTATTCTTGTTAATTGATAATTACTGTTCCTCCCTGTACTATATCAGAACAGAAGTTGAGGATGTTCCAATTTAGAAAATGAATTTGTGTGAATATTGGAAGAATCAGGCTCCTATGTGTGTTGGTAACAGACTCGGTCATTTCTACAGAAAGTCAAAAATCAATGAGAATCCATTTGCTTTTATTTTAAAAAGAACAAGGTAATGTTATAAAACATGATCAAATGTAATTGTGCTCGGTTATTGCTGTATTTCAATAACATTATGATTGTATATTTTTCGTTATATTGGATGAAGAGGAATGTGTTTACAATAACTAATTTTATGGTATAAGATCAATAATTCTTTATACATTTAATAAAAGAATGCCTGTTATTAAAAACTACACCAAAGTTTACCCAGCGTCCAGTACCATCAATGGAAGGCCATAATACATCTTTTACCCTGACTCATTGATTAGTATCAGAGGAAGGTTGAGATACCAAGTGTCTTGTATGTTGTTTCATTAGTATCACTGGAAAGTCATGATACCAAGTGTCTTGTATGTTGTTTCATTAGTATCACTGGAAAGTCATGATACCAAGTGTCTTGTATGTTGTTTCATTAGTATCAGAGGAAGGTTGAGATACCAAGTGTCTTGTATGTTGTTTCATTAGTATCACTGGAAAGTCATGATACCAAGTGTCTTGTATGTTGTTTCATTAGTATCACTGGAAAGTCATGATACCAAGTGTCTTGTATGTTGTTTCATTAGTATCACTGGAAAGTCATGATACCAAGTGTCTTGTATGTTGTTTCATTAGTATCACTGGAAAGTCATGATACCAAGTGTAGACATCAGATCTTGGTCTGTGGGGGTGAGAGGGGAACAAGCTCAGAAGGAAAAACTTTAGTAAAATTTTGAAATCCTACCCTCTGTAGGAATGAATGAATATTGCCTGAAGCATCCCTGCGTGAGGGTAAAACAATCTTCTATAAACATTAGGTCTCTGCCCCCTGGGTCAGGAGGAGCAGGACCTGAAAGGGAAATAGAACTAATTCTTTAAAATCCTACTCTTCTTGTAGGAATGAATGGATATTGCACACATTTTGTGTGAAGCATTGCAGGAGGGACAGCTCTCAATGGGGGAACTCTAAGTTCCTAAAAATCCCTCATCCTTCCAAGGATATTGTCTCAGTTTGGTCTGAAGCAATTTTTATGACTAAAGTGAATCTGACTTCTGTTTGGCCAGAACCCAATAGGTTAATAATTTCAGAAATTGTTTGTCATGTTTGAAATTTTTTGTTAAGTGACTGAAAAGCTGAATTAGCCAAGTGAACGATGCAGGCACCTTGGGCCTCTTGTTATACCTGTTGAATTCTTCATCCTTTCTATTTCTAGCCCACTAAACCTTGCAACTAGTGTGTGATCCAACAGCATGCTGCTGATGTCGAAATATACATATGTAAAGCCATATGTTTTAAATTTTTTGTTATGTCTGTAGATACAGACAGCAGGAGTTTCAGTACGTGTTACCAACAAACAGCTCAGATTAAATGCCTTTATTTTTTTGGCACTGATGCTTTGACATGTTTAGACAAGATTTTATTGATAGAGCTGACTGAGAAGACTCACAGCAGCAGTCCTATATCAGCGTAGGTAAAAATAGAGGTATATATCATCGTAAAGTATGTGTGGGAGAAGAGGTAAAAATTCAACCATATGTTTGTTGTATAACTCAATATTTGGTAACAAGATTCCTAGGATGGTAATAGGTCTCTAAGAGTTATCCCCCATTTCTATCTTTTTATGTTTGCATCTATCAACCATTATTGTCAGACAGAGAAAGAATCCACGTAGGTTCTGTAATCCAAAGATTATCAGAAAGAGAAAAAATCCACGTAGCTTCTGTCATACAAAGATTGTCTGAAAGAGACAGAATCCACGTAGGTTCTGTCATACAAAGATTGTCAGAAAGAGAAAAAATCCACGTAGCTTCTGTCATACAAAGATTGTCTGAAAGAGACAGAATCCACGTAGGTTCTGTCATACAAAGATTGTCAGAAAGAGAAAAAAATCCACGTAGCTTCTGTCATACAAAGATTGTCAGAAAGAGAAAAAATCCACGTAGCTTCTGTCATACAAAGATTGTCTGAAAGAGACAGAATCCACGTAGGTTCTGTCATACAAAGACTGTCAGAAAGAGAAAAAATCCACGTAGCTTCTGTCATACAAAGATTGTCTGAAAGAGACAGAATCCACGTAGGTTCTGTCATACAAAGACTGTCAGAAAGAGAAAAAATCCACGTAGCTTCTGTCATACAAAGATTGTCTGAAAGAGACAGAATCCACGTAGGTTCTGTCATACAAAGACTGTCAGAAAGAGAAAAAATCCACGAAGCTTCTGTCATACAAAGATTGTCTGAAAGAGACAGAATCCACGTAGGTTCTGTCATACAAAGATTGTCAGAAAGAGAAAAACTCCACATAGGTTCTGTCATACAAAGATTGTCAGAAAGAGAAAAAATCCACGTAGCTTCTGTCATACAAAGATTTCAGAAAGAGAAAAACTCCACATAGGTTCTGTCATACAAAGATTGTCAGAAAGAGAAAAACTCCACATAGGTTCTGTCATACAAAGATTGTCTGAAAGAGACAGAATCCAGGTAGGTTCTGTCATACAAAGATTGTCAGAAAGAGAAAAAATCCACGTAGCTTCTGTCATACAAAGATTGTCAGAAAGAGAAAAAATCCACGTAGCTTCTGTCATACAAAGATTGTCAGAAAGAGAAAGAACCCACGTAGGTTCTGTCATACAAAGATTGTCAGAAAGGGAAAGAATCAACGTAGGTTCTGTCATACAAAGATTGTCAGAAAGAGAAAAAATCCACGTAGCTTCTGTCATACAAAGATTGTCAGAAAGAGAAAAAATCCACGTAGCTTCTGTCATACAAAGATTGTCAGAAAGAGAAAGAACCCACGTAGGTTCTGTCATACAAAGATTGTCAGAAAGGGAAAGAATCAACGTAGGTTCTGTCATACAAAGATTGTCAGAAAGAGAAAAAATCCACATAGCTTCTGTCATACAAAGATTGTCAGAAAGAGAAAAAATCCACGTAGCTTCTGTCATACAAAGATTGTCAGAAAGAGAAAAACTCCACATAGGTTCTGTCATACAAAGATTGTCAGAAAGAGAAAAACTCCACATAGGTTCTGTCATACAAAGATTGTCAGAAAGAGAAAAACTCCACATAGGTTCTGTCATACAAAGATTGTCTGAAAGAGACAGAATCCACGTAGGTTCTGTCATACAAAGATTGTCAGAAAGAGAAAAAATCCACGTAGCTTCTGTCATACAAAGATTGTCAGAAAGAGAAAAAATCCACATAGCTTCTGTCATACAAAGATTGTCAGAAAGAGAAAAAATCCACATAGGTTCTGTCATACAAAGATTGTCAGAAAAACAACAAATCCACGTAGGTTGTCATACAAAGATTGTCAGAAAGAGAAATAATCCACGTAGCTTCTGTCATACAAAGATTGTCAGAAAGAGAAAAAATCCACATAGGTTCTATCATACAAAGATTGTCAGAAAGAGAAAGGATACACGTAGGTTCTGTCATATAAAGATTGTCAGAAAGAGAAATACATTGATATAACATCAGTACTTTGATCAGATTTTACAATCTTTAGTAAAATCTTTTGATTTTTCAGTACTTTTTTATTTTAATGAAATCATTCTAATAATGTACTAATGAATAATGAAAATGGTATTTAGATCAATCTGCACCTGTCAACATAAATTCCTCTTATGACATGTTTGACTCTTTACTGACTGTTTGTTGTTTACAGATGCACCGCCTCCCTACCCTGGAGTTGCTCCTGTCCCGCACCCTCATGCCCTTCGTCACTCTGATAGGAAGTTTTCTGCCCCAGTGTTTGGTTCCAGGGACACTGCCCCACCAATGCCGAATGAGAACCGCCTATCACGCTGTGATGAGGTTGAAAATATACCTGAGGTCGTCCAAGAAGAACCGAAAACAGATGACGTACCTCATCCACCCCAATTTCAGAGGTAACAAATCGTATTTTACATCTTCAAGTTTTAGAGTTTGCTTGATTGATCTGACATTTCTTATCAACAAGTTTTATTATTTCAAGCTTTTTCTTACGGTTCCTAAAAATGTCAAGATGAGATTTATGGTATAATTTTGGGTATAGCCTACAGTGTCATATCGTGGATAAATCTAATTTCTAAATGGGATAGGTTTTCTTTTTCTTTAAACAATGATAATGTACTTGAATATCAGAAACACTTTTACAGAAATACTAAAACAAAGATAGAAAGTAATTATGCAATTATTTAGGATTTTCATTCTGTATAAATACCTGTTTCTTAAATACTATAAATACCACAGAGCAATACATAAGAGATATTTATGGCTAAAAGACTTTTACATATCATGTGTAAATAGGCACAGTTAGATTACATATACTCTGTTCTTGGCATTTCCAGGAGTGCTACATCCCCATACATCGAACAAGATCACTTAGAATCTCCGCCACCTCCTCCCCCTCCCTTAGACCCTGAGGAGCTGGCCCTCAGTCCACCATCTTTAAGGTCTACCCCAAATAGGCAGCAGGACCCAGACTCCTCCCAGTCCATCGACGGTCATGGCCCACGGAGCAATGTCAGTGTCCTCTCTTCCTCTCGAACTGAGGATTCAGAAGATGACCCGAAACGAAAGATTAAGGTATTTACAATTCTATATCAAATATCTTATCCATTTAACTATTAATGACGCATATTTTTTTAGAAAAGGATTTCTTAATGTCTTGTTAGAAGTGGATTTTCAACTTTTAACTCACAGTAGTTGTGTAATAGTCATAATTGCTCTTTTTGCATTTTTCTTAATTGCTCAATATGCACTTAAAAAAAAACAACTGAATTGAATGCAGTTGTTAATGACAATTATCTACATTGTATATTCCAATAGCGGCACCCTGCTGACCGGGCCTACTATATAGCTAAGGAGTTACTAATGACTGAACGTACATATCGCAAGGATCTCGAGGTTATCACAGTGGTGAGTAGTTGATAAATATTTGCAGGGATTTCATGGGTCATTTTCTCTGTTGTAAAAGAGTCAGACCATTTCTTGGCTTCTACGTTGATATTGAAAGTCATGTCTGCAGCTATCCTAATGGTCATAGTTTCTTTAGTGAGGTCAAATTATCATGATCACCGTTGTTTTTTTAAAGTCTTGGCCTTTGTAGTGATGTCAAAAGTCATGAAATCTGTAGTTATGTTAAAGGTCATGGACTAATAGTGATGTCAATAGCTTATGACCTGTAGTTTTGGTAAAGGTCTTGACCTCCATAGTGATGTCAAAGATCATGACCTTTACAGTTTTGTTAAAGGTCTTTTCCCAGTAATGATGTTAAGGCTTTTGACTTCTTTAATAATGTTGGAAAGTCGTGACTTACTGTTTAGTAGTGTGTGCAAATGGATGTTGCTGGAGTAATCCAGAATTAACTGTTTCTAAACCTTCTGTATATGATTCTGTGTTTTAGTGGTTCCACAATGCAGTAAGTATGGAGGGAGCCGTGCCTGAACCCACAGAGAACTTATTCTCTACCTTGGAGCCCATCTACCAGTTCCACAGCAAATTCCTCATGGACATTGACCAGAGAATCTCAATGTGGTATGTGTAGTATAAAGGTTACACACTCTCACACAGATACAAGTCACCAAAACATGAGTACAGGTGTATCATTGACCAGAGAATCTCAATGTTGTATGTATAGTATAAAGGTTACACACTCTCACACAGATACAAGTCACCAAAACATGAGGACATGTGTACCATTGACCAGAGAATCTCAATGTTGTATGTATAGTATAAAGGTTACACACTCTCACACAGATACAAGTCACCAAAACATGAGGACATGTGTACCATTGACCAGAGAATCTCAATGTTGTATGTATAGTATAAAGGTTACACACTCTCACACAGATACAAGTCACCAAAACATGAGGACATGTGTATCATTGACCAGAGAATCTCAATGTTGTATGTATAGTATAAAGGTTACACACTCTCACACAGATACAAGTCACCAAAACATGAGGACATGTGTATAGATTCAATCAAACATAATATAAATGAAGAATTAATATTTTATCAAATTTATATAAATATATGTAAATTATTCAATTATGTTGACGAGCACAGTTCGTTCTCAGATGTAAGAATTAAAGGAAAGTCGTGGTAATCAACAAGCTTCCTTTGCCTAATCACCATATTATATGTATAAGGTTTGACGTATTTTGAAATCATCAGCCCTGCCTGGTCATAGGGTTTGATAATAGAATGTTTTAGTGTTGGCCTGGCAAAACCAACGGTTTGTATAGAAAATTGTGTAACACAAAACACAGTAAAATGATATGTGTTCTTTGTAGTTTTAAAACTAATGATATGACTGTTTTACAGGGAAGGTAAATCTAACGCCCATCTTAACGGTGACTACCAGAGGATTGGAGACGTACTAATGAACAACCTCCCCAAGGCTCTGATGGTAAATAGATTTGATTGAAAATCATTTACTCATTAGGAGCAAAATCTAATTTATTTCTCTAGAATACACATATCATTTTAAACATCTTATATCTGTTGATCCAAGGAGAAATAAACGTTGTGAACCTATAACACAATAAAAACAAGAACGGTAGTACATTGGATAAAATACCTAATTGATACCCTACTGGTATTCCTGAGATTAAAACCTTGGAGATATGTTCACAAAAATGGAATTTATATCAAATCTTTTCCTGGAATGATTTATAACACATATATTTCACCTGTGCACAATAGAAAGTTAAAGTAAAAATTTTATGGAAGGGGGTAGGGGGGATGTTGTTTGTTCTTAGTCACTCGGTGCATAAGGGGAGATAACTTAGAATGGTGATACTTGTCTGCTGATAGGCATTAATAGTTGACATAAGACCCATTTAATAAAAAGAATTCAAAACTGGCGATTGTTGCTTTTTGTAAAGGTATATACATGGATATTTATATGTGAACACACCATTTATATAAGAATGATTCCAATGTCCATCACAGTTTTTGTAAGGGCAAAGTTCTGCTTTGTTTCTGTTATCAATCACACCAGATGGAGGTGTTTTATTTAATAGTAGGATGATGATATGTTGTATGCCTCAGAAAAGTAAAAAAAAAAAAAGAAAGAAAAAATGTCATACAGCAAAAATGTGCTATGACTCACTGAAATCATCCAATTTTCTTATAACACTACTCATTACAAAAAACATTATATCCATAATGAGGTATTGAAACCATCAAGGTAGTCAGAAATTATTAAGATAGAGTTCAAATAACAAAGTAGCCTTAAACATCTGCAGATATGTCATTTGAATATGTAGACATAAATATATTTACAAATAAACAATGTTAGTGTAGTTTATAGATGCTGTCTTAGTAGATCTGCCAGTGATATAATGTGCTGTGTTATGGTGTTAAGTGTTATGTTGTGTATTTTCAGGTGTTTTACAAGAATTATTTAGATAAACAAGAGAGTATCTTGACAGAGCTGGAACATGCAGTTAAGAAGCAGAAATCGTTTGAGAAAATGTATAAGGAATTTGAGTCACAGAAAGTCTGTTACCTCCCCTTGAATACATTTATACTTAAACCAGCACAGCGAATACTTCACTATAAACTTCTGCTAGAGCGTAAGTATAAAACGATAGTTTTTGGTGATTGATTGATCTCAATCGGGCATTGATCATTCTAAACCAGACCTCACACACACAGATTTAATTAAAGTCGGTCATTTGTTATATACCAGTGGTTATAACAATGTGGATATAGTTTAAATGTGTTCGGTGTAACATTGAATTGCTAAAGCTGTGTAAACATTTTAACTTTAGAAATTCTGTCATATTTACAGTGATCATGTTTTTTGAGTTTCAATAGTTTGCCAAATTTTCATTTTCACATTTAGCGAACAGTTCACATCTACAACAACAATTGGCTAGACTATTTAAACTAGGAGCATGTGTTACAGTGAATCTACTTTGTAGTAACATATAAATCAATGTTTTTTTCATTTATTTCCAGGCCTAACAAAGCATTACTCGAAGGATCACCAGGACTATACAGACTGTTGTGGTAAGTATATTTAAAAAGTTGTTACAGAGTTGTATATTTTGTTATTGATCAAAACAATTTTATTGTAACTTATTTAGGATTTTGAAAGTTTTCAAAATTTTGGAAAGTTAAAGCATTTCTTTAACTTCTACTTGCAGCTGCTCTGGCCAAGGTGAACTCTTTGGTGTCTGAATATAAAGATAGAATGAGAACACAGGTAGGTGGCTTACCATGGAGACTGGAACTGGAATACTAATTCAGTTTTTATTTGTTTAATTTGATTTTTTCTGCTGCAGCCACGTCCATCTGCCTCTGTGTATCCGTCCACTTTTTTTCTTTAAAAAATTCTTCTCATTACCCAATGGATTAAATGTTTTGGTATTTGGATGGTATGTTCCACGGATGAAGCCCAACAAAATTTTTAAAAAGAAATGACTTTGACCTATATTCAAGGTCACAATGTCAGATTTGTTAAAACCTTTAAATGACTTCTTCTCATGAACTAAAAGGCCCAGAGGTGTGATATTTAGCTGGTATTTTCCTAGGAGAAAGTTCAACAAAGTTTGTGAAAAAAGAATTATCCTGACTTATATTCAAAGTCACAGGGGTCAAATTTATTAAAACTTTAAAAAGACTTCTTCTTATGAACTAAAAAGTCCAGAAGCATTGGCCTACATAACATCTGGTGAAGTTCCCAGGTGCATGGTGCGATGCTCTTTAGCTGTGGCAGTTTATGTATCTTTTTAAGCTGAGAGACAGACCATTCTGTGCGGTTGTCCTCAGGCAAGATACTGTACCTTAATTGCATTGGATGGCATACCATAGGCCTCATGTATGTTGTTTATCAAGTTAACCACCTTCTACTACAAGGAAACCTTGCCTTAAGATGGCCCTGGCTGTTCATGGGTCAATAAACCAGCAACAAACCTGCACACATTGCTGTGATCAGTAGTTCTGATAATGCTAGTAGTAAGACAACTTGTGAATGTCTTTATCTGATTGTTTTGATGTTAGTGTGTGCACTTGTCATTTTAATTCAGTTAACTTGTAAATTGTCCTTTATTTATTTTTCAGGAGAATTTACAGAAGTTGATGGAGATACAGAGAGACCTAGTTGGTCTAGATACACTTGTTCATGTAGACAGGGTAGGTACTGTACACTCAGATATCACTGATGTAATGTCAGATTCAAAATTAGATACACTTGTTCATGTACACAAGGTAGGTACTGTACATTCAGATATCACTGATGTAATGTCAGATTCAAAATTAAATACACTTGTTCATGTACACAAGGTAGGTACTGTACATTCAGATATCACTGATGTAATGTCAGATTCAAAATTAGATACACTTGTTCATGTACACAAGGTAGGTACTGTACATTCAGATATCACTGATGTAATGTCAGATTCAAAATTAGATACACTTGTTCATGTACACAAGGTAGGTACTGTACATTCAGATATCACTGATGTAATGTCAGATTCAAAATTAGATACACTTGTTCATGTACACAAGGTAGGTACTGTACATTCAGATATCACTGATGTAATGTCAGATTCAAAATTAGATACACTTGTTCATGTACACAAGGTAGGTACTGTACATTCAGATATCACTGATGTAATGTCAGATTCAAAATTAGATACACTTGTTCATGTACACAAGGTAGGTACTGTACATTCAGATATCACTGATGTAATGTCAGATTCAAAATTAAATACACTTGTTCATGTACACAAGGTAGGTACTGTACATTCAGATATCACTGATGTAATGTCAGATTCAAAATTTCGGTAAAAAGATTCTAGTTGAATGTACTCTTTTTATGTGGATGTAACAAGCAGGATTATCATCTATTTTCAGACGTTCATTCGTGAAGGATGCCTCCAAAAATTTTCGAGAAAGGGATACCAGCAAAGAATGTTTTTCTTGGTGAGTAGATTGAAGTTCACATGTTGCCTTTCCTTCTGTTTGCATAACAGTTTCACACATTTCATCCAGTTAGAATATTCATAATTTGCTGATAAAATGTATGTACTGTCTGTTTTAGCAATAACAATAAAACCTAACTCTGCCTTTATACAGTTTTCAGATTTACTGGTTTATACCAGTCGTACAACCACACATCTACTACAGTTCAAAGTTCACGGCCAGCTTCCTCTCCGAGGCATGATAGTAAGTAATTTAAAAAATTGTTGGGGGTGGGGGGAAGAATTCAATATTGTTTTATTTCTGATTGTTATGGAAAAAAATTTTGGTAAGAGAGTCTTATCTGATGGAGAATGTACAATGTTCAGATAAAAGCTTTCTCATAACTCCAAATTGTCTTTCATTACCTATTAATGATTAATGAGCGTTAAGGCTCAAGATGATCAGTCAACCATTGGAAAAGCTTCAGAGTCTTCAACAACGTGTATCAGCTTTGATATCCTGAGTTACGATCTTTCTGTTTACAGGTAGAGGAGTCCGATCATGCTAAGATGGCAGTGGCCAACAGCTTTGCAATATATGGTGGCAACAAATGTATTTTAGTGGCAGCTAGGTAATTATCAGAGAGAACAAAACTATTTTCAGAATTTACGGAGAGATCTGTTAGAAATGTAGTTTCATAAATGTTCTGAAGAAAGATAAGTAGAAAGACACTGGTATAAAACATTATGATACACTTTTTGTACTATAACATCTGAAAAAAGAAAGAAAAACAAGAAAACTTCTCTGTATACTCTCTGGTTTTTCTGTTATTATCATGTTTTTGATATGTGTGTTTTAGTTCTCAAGAAGAAAAAGATAAATGGATAGAGGATCTCAATGAAGCTATTATCCAAGCCAAAAACAGGAATGATGATAAACTCAAGTATTCTAGTCTAAAATCCTCCACAAGTAAGTACAGGTGGTGGCACAGTGTACTCCATGTATTTCTTCCTGAGATGTATTTATCTGGTAATAAGTCTATTGCTATTCAGATGAATTATAAATGTATTACTATCATTATCCTGTTATTAGTAAACCCCCTTCCTCCCTGGGATTATTGCTTGATGAATGTGTTGATAGATTTAGGTCTATCCATTGATCAATATCTGACCTTTCTTTGTTATAAATAAAGTTTATTCTGTTTTGTTAAAAAGATCTTGCTGTATTATAAATCCCATTTACCAACAGAACTAATATTATTTGCAACATTTCCACAGGTTCTTCAGAAAATGTGGAAGGTGAAGGTCAGAGTGGAGAGGTCAATGGGTCACCGCCTGAGAAACAGATCCAGCACCGTGCTAACACTACAATGCATGTGTGCTGGCATAGAAACACAAGTGTTAGCATGCGAGACCACGACAAGGCAGTCAAGGTATGGAGAGGCATTAGTTATTGTTTCCTCATCTTAATATACTGCAGAGGATATAGTATCTTACTGCTACTACAAAAATATTACGGTCTGGAAGTTACCAAACAGATGTTACAGCATGCTTTAGGAAAGATTATAGTCACTGTTACTATAAATAGAATTAGTTCTTGATATTTTGAGACAACACAAGTTCATCGATGAAGTAGTGGGAGTAACATGTTTACTGGGCCCTTTAGAGTTAGAAACACATTCAGTTGTACTGTATCATGATAGTAACCCAAGTTCTATCTGTCCCTATTATTTTGCAAATTTTCAGAATTTTCAGACTTTAAAGAAAAATGCTCTCTCAGTTCAGAATAAGTGGATTTTTAATACCTGTACTTCAATAGGATTTGTGGGATGATTAATGTGGCAAATATGAAAAATAGCCATATTAGTAAAGTCAAAAAAAGGGAAATGCTTTACATGGCAGTTATTTAGTGTATTGATGCTGCTGAGAATGTGTTGATTCTGCTGAGAATGTGTTGATGATACTGAGAATGTGTTGATGCTGCTGAGAATGTGTTGATGCTGAATTTGTATTCCTTTGTTTGGACTTTTATTTTAATATTTGTTCTTTTGCATTTCAGAATCAGCTGAGTGGTTACCTGTTGAGAAAGTTCAAAAACAGCAATGGCTGGCAGAAACTCTGGGTCGTGTTCACAAACTTTTGTCTATTTTTCTACAAAACTTATCAGGTAAATATATTTAAGGATGTTTTGCATCTCTTGGTAGTTTATTCAGTGACTGGCTGATGTAAACACGTCTGAGATGTCGATGATGGAGACTTCTATAACCAATCTCCAAATAGTTTACCGTGTATCTAGATTTAAGTTGTCAATGGTGCTAAAGGCTCATCAGGTAAAAACTGGCCTAAACACCAAATATCTTACTGAGTAAATTATTAATATATCACCTTTATTACAGGACAATTCAATATCATTTGTCGACACAATTTGGCATATTACCTGGAATGAATGAACTTATTACCCGTACTGATATTTGGTGTGTAGTTTTCTGAGATTAAGGGTTACCAAGTTTTTTTCAAATGCATGACCTTGACCTACTTGCAAGGTCGCAAAGACTGTAGAGGTTGAAATACAAATGTATGTATAAGATACTGCCGATATAGGAAGAATAAAATGATTATGTTAATTATTTGTTACATTTTCCCCACCAGGATGATTTTCCACTGGCCAGCTTGCCATTGCTAGGTTACGCCGTCAACACTCCAGAAGAAGAGGATGGTATTCATAAAGACCATGTCTTCAAACTTCAGTTCAAAAACCATGTATACTTCTTCAGGGCAGAGAGCGAGTATACTTTTGAGAGGTGGGTTTTAGATTTGATAAGGAAATGTTGTATCGTACTTAAGAGAAAAAAGAGAAAAACACACATAAGAAAGGGGTTTGGCCGCCAAAGTTTTTTTGAGATTTGACTCTATATGGAAGATGCATTAAAATCATTTTATGAGAGAATGATCGGTTTAAAACCAAGCAGGTACTGTACGTACAATATTAGTGTAGAATTTTTATACAGTAATGAGAGTAAAGAAATAAAGACCTCTGCTAATTAAGGTTTCTGTTCTCTATAGTACTCAAACAGAGGAGGAGTCTTTCTTGATCTGTGTAATAGCTTTGTTTATATAAAAAAAATTGCATCAGTTTCAATGTTAACTTGTTGTTTTACAATGTGTCAGGTACTAGATGTAGTTTATGTGTGTTTATTTTTAGATGGATGGAGGTAATTAACCATGCAACAAACAGCTCTCGTCGCGTCCGACTTTTCAGTAGGATGGATAGCAACCAATTATCATAGCATCTACCAGTGGTGGCCAATGAAAACTTTGTGTCTGCCAGTCGCCTACCAACACCAGCCAATCAAAATCTCTGTCAGTCACTGTAACACCTAGCCAAGTCTGCCTCGTCACACAGCCCACATGGAGAGGACAGGGATTATTCTACTTTACTGTTAATTAACATAATGTGATATTCAGAAACATTTAACGATGTAAACTGTCAAGTTTTTATTTAGGAAATTAAGTACGGTCGTAATCAAGATATTAACATGTGGCATTATGGGAAATTTTCTAGATAATCCTGAAGTGAATGGGACATAATGACAGTATTTGACTATGTGGTGTAAAAAACACCTACCAGTGTTTTGTGTTGTAAGCTGGCCAGGCTTTGTTGCTATACTGATGGCTATGGTACGACTATTTTTTAATAATTGTGTAGAAAATTTGTTGTGTCTGAAATCAGTCTTGATTCTTTGGGAGACATATTGAATGACTGATTCTAAATGAAACACATGTTCTTTAATCAGTATATCATCCGTATAATTTATGGTGTACGTCTTTTTAACAAAATAGAATATGATTTATAAGGGAAATATTTTTAATGTTATGAATTTTAATTATTATAAGTTATATGTTTATTAATATATGAGATATGTTATCAAATTATTCATTCTTAATCAAATTATTATCCAAAATTTCAATCTGAAGTTAAGAAAAATATCTCAGTGTGGTTGATAATGTTACTTACAATCCAGAATTGAGGTGCGGAGGTGGTTGTTTGAACGATTAGCACATTTTAGTTGTCCAACATTAATGTCAGAAATGGTTGGGGTACTGGCAGTGATGCAATACCAAACCCTTTGAAATGTTTTTGATTCTCCAAAACCTTAAAATTGCCTTGATGGAATTAATTAAAGACCTACAGTTTACATCAGAAATTTTGAATACTCAAATTATGTGTAAACTGGAGATTGTTGTTTTAAGAAATGCATTTAAAAATACATGTACGCAGTAGGATGTCTTGTCATCGTTTCAATATAACGATATATATATTCAAATCATGCTAAAATCTGAAAAATTACCCAAGAACCACAAAGAGCTTTGAAAGTGCTTGAAATATATTTTCAGTCTTTGGGGGAAGTGGAAACAATTGTAAAAAATATGGGAATAGCACAGATTGTTAGGATTCAACACTAGAAAAAAACATGGTATATCAAGCAATGCAGGAATTTTATTGAAGACGAAATAATCACCTCTTCCTGAACTATGCATAATATTTGAATGATAAATACTAGGTATTTACATAATTATTTAGCTGTATGTATAGGTAGATAAGTGTGTGTATAGTACATAGGCAGGTTTAGTTCAATCGGCTCCCAGCTCTCTGTGTTGTTCTTTAAATTGGTTTTTGATTAGACTTAACTATAGGCAAAATAATGTGTAACTAATAAAGAAAACTGAATTAGTTAAGTTAGTGATTTGATACGAGGGATTTCAGATAATTGTGATCCTGTTTTTACGGAGCAGTCACAGAAAAAGCACTTATTTTTGTATCAACGGTCAGCCAAATATACTGTCATTATGTACATATTTTAGTGGCACTCTTATTTTAGCACTTTTCAGGATTTAATGTTTTGTTAGACAATGATTACACTGATACAAGTTTCTTCACATTGTTTACTGTTACATACATTATTGTCATTTACAACTTTGCTGATATGATTAAAAACATTTTTCTCTGTACAATAAAAGACAAGTGTCTAACGTCATGAACACATTCATTCTGCCTCAGTTTGAGATTAAAATCTCAAGGTACTACATCGAAAGGCATTGTCACTGTGTTGGTGATTTTGAAACTCAATTATTTTTGTAAAGCTGAGGTAAGGGCAGAATTTCATACAGGCCTACAGATATGGCCTTCGTTTGAGGAATTGTAAAATGATTATAAGTCTGTTCAAAATACTGATTCTTGTCTAAACAGTTAAGAATTTATATACATTTCATGTTACATCTTGAATTTAACATTCTCAACATCACATTTAACAGCAGTCATCACTCCTGTAGGCTAAATTGTATACACTATTTATCCATACTCATGTTGAAGTCTCATACACCTGTAAAACACAGACCTTAACTTCTCGAGGTATGAAATTTCTTGCTAATGGTGTCAAGTTTGGAGAAATAGATTGATAGTCTGGTTTTGTGTCGAGTTACAACAGAGAATACCTTTCAGGTACAGTTAGTGAAGTGAAAGCACAAATGTACAGAAGCATTATGGGTTTACATACCTCTATGTAGCATAATTGTTCCACCATGCATATCAGTTTTTACAAGCACAAGTCACAATGATATATACTTTTGTATAATAGGGCTAATTTTATTGGGGGTGTGTACAGTATGATATTTCAATGTGTTTAGATAATTGATTTGTAATATCGCACTAGTCATAATTTTTTTACCAAATTAATGTATACTTAAGATGTTTATTTTATAGTATTGCTAATAGATCATCACAATCATTGTTGAACAAAGGTAAATCTGCTGGGTTACCGACACCAAAGAATATCACAAAGCCTGTTATATACTTCAGTATATGCTTCTTCACAAGGAAGTCACAGCAGTCTGGTTATGTTTGTAGCAACTGGAGGAAACGTTGCTGTTTATTGCATTTATATCATTGTTCTCATAATTCTTAATTGATGATAATTACTTTTCCCCATTGGAAATATGATTTGTAGGGAAAATGTTGACTCAAGTATTCAGCTATGGTATATAGAAAGAAAAAAAAATCAAAGTAAATGTAAAAACTTCTAGGTCACTCTTTTTGATGCTTAGGAAGGGAGAGCCTTGGCACCAACATGGGGAAAACACTTTTTTTTTTAAATACTTCAACTCGGTATATATATCCAGGAGCCAATATAGTAAGACTTCTTATTTCTGCTTCTAACTTTAATCATCAATATACTTTTGTTCTGTACTTCACTCTTTGTATTAGAGTTCAACAGTACAGCCTTAGTCATGACTTTTAACGGGAGGTTTTATGTTTGCCAAATAACACCGTCATTCTGGGTCATTAAAATGTTTGTATTACTTTATAGAACAAGCAGTGATATGATACTTTTCTTGATGTTTGAAAAAACAATGTTTTTCAAATCAAACAAATAATATTATCATAACTAAGGGACAAGTAAAGGAAAGAAGACAACAAATTCTGAACAATCATGTTTTCATTTGGGTTTTTGATAGTGGTTGTGTTTCGTGTGATATGGAATATTTTTGAATTATTTCTCCTGTTGTCTGTTGCAATTTACAGATGGTGTTGACATCCATAAAAGTATATATACATAAATCTGGCTATTATACACCACTACAAGAAAATATGAATTGACAGAGTAGCTGTGTTTAGTGATTTAAATTTTAAAGTTAGTCACTTATTTTGACAACAAAAAGTGCTTAATTTTTTCATTTTAAGAGTATAGAAATTATTCATTATACACGTAAACCCTTGACAAATGGGGAAATGCAGTATGTGGGCCAAGTTCACCTTGTTCTTGTAATATTCAGAAATGGTATAGAATGTGTAATGATCACCTCCCTAGTTCTCTCTGGTTCAATCAGATATTGATGTTATTATATATTTTACTGCATTGTATTGTTATATAAAGTGTACACAAGTTTTGTTGTATTGTAGAAATTGACTAAAAACATATTATGTACAGTACTAAACATGTATATATTATTTTTAAACAATTTTAATGGGAAACATTTGTACATTGTAAATTATTGTTTACTATGTATTCTTAAGTACCAATTCCTTTTGTTCAGACTGGCTTTTTGAGTCTACATTATTAAGATTGGCTTTTTCGTTTTATTGCTTCTATAATTTGCATATTTATTGTTTCCTATCAATGTGCAAGATATTTTTATCATGATTATCTCCCCTTGACTCCATGATCCAGTGAAGGTGGTAATTTGTTGTTGAAATCTGTGGTGTTCAAACTTTATGCAAATGTGTACAGTGTTTCATTGTGTGTCCTCATGTACTTAATAACCCTCAATGAATATAAACAAACCTGTTTATATTATTCTAGTGTGTGAATGTGTCTGCCATGGAGAATTCTGCACTATGATATGAAGGATGTAATCAGATAATACAATAAGGAGTGGGCTTTTTTTTGGACATTCATATTCAAAATAAAAACAACAAATGCTTTGCGTGTGGAAAAATTTAAAAAATATATGTTGAATTCCAGAGCTTATGTATTGGTAAGATTTTTTAGAGGTGTTTTGTTTGGAAATATATTACAGGCTGAATGAAAACAATAAAATTCTTTCTGATGGCAAGTGAGTAATGCTTATTACACAATGAAACTTTTGTACAATCTTATTCATATATGTATTTTATACTTTATCACATTTATCTGTGTGATTTGGAACACAAAACTAAGATAATTACACGTTTCAAAATTTTACAAAAGTATTTAACAAAGATTTTTAAGATTCCTATTAAAATTTATTGACATATTTTTATCTTTAGGCTTTATTTACACCAATAAGACACATCATAATTGTATATAGATCTTTCACTTTGATGTGATAGAATCAAGTAATGAGTTTTGATAACATGTTTAAAAAGATTTTTTTTTACATTAATTCATCAGAGGGGCACTTAGCTACCTCCACATTAAATTTGATGGATTGGGTGTTATATTATTTGTCACAAGGAGCTCAACCATTCCAGAACTTTTAATTGTGTGTCAATACCTGAAATTGCTTTCCCAATGTGAACCATTGATTTCAAGACAACAGACTAGAGGGCAAAGATATTCATGAGATTGATGTTTGCATCTTTGTAATTATAATGGAGCTATAGACCAACCAGAACAAATTATATCTAGGTCATAGATTAAGGAGTTACTTCCCCTTATTATACAGATTGACAGAGTTACTTCCCCTTATACAGATATTGATGGAGTTACTTCCCCTTAACATTGGTGCTGACTTTGTAACATTATTATTATATAACCATTTGTATTTCCCCCCATGTAACTCTTTTTAAAATAATTCCCACTATCATCATATGTATGTGTCACAGTTAAATAAACCTATCGGATATTGGTATACTGACAGAGCTGTCTATCAACAATCACCAGTTACTACTGTATTATCATTTATTTTCTTGGAGAATTTTGTTTTTCTTGTTAATTGGCGATTCTTAATTCATAAATCTATACATCAGCAAAATGGTAAACAGTTAGAAATTGGTATTAATTTTAGTACTAGTGGATTTTGTGAACAAGATTCATCCATGAAATCAGCTGCTAGTTAAAATGCTTGGAAACAGATGTTTGTTAGAATGGATGTATGGGTAATATAGAATTTAAACTGATACAGTATAATCTGTCAAAACAGTATTCATACCATGCTTAGGTTATACAGTTTACATCACAGTCTATTGTTATAATACAACAATCAATACAGGAACAATTCCGTGCACTTTTCTTAATACTTAACCTTTTGAGGTTAAATTTCAAATCTTAATTAGTATGTTGATCTTGACAGCTGTGATAATGATCAGATAATGAAAAGTTCTTACGGGATAATGATCAATAAACCTGATGTAATGGTCATTTGTAATTTTAAAGAATAATTATCTGCTCCTCAATATTTTCATCTTTTCAGCTAAAACAAATTTCATATTATGCATTATAAAGATGCCAGTGGCTATTATGTATTCATTCTTAAACTAGTTCTTGGAATGTTTTGGTTAAACTTACCGAAAAGTTTTGTTTTGTTTTGGGTTTTTTTTTTATTGAGAAAACATTAACTTTCTATGAATATTGAACACAGTCAGTCTTTTATACAATTAAGTATAAGAAATCTTGTCCAATTTTAACCAATAATCCATTATTGATTTGTAAGTGATTTCCCATCACAGCTTGGACTGATAATGTTCCAAAGGTTCCACTCAATACTTACAAATCATTAGCTATCAATATTTCCCAATTTGTGTTGTGTATTTTCCTTTCATTTCAGTACATGTGAATGGTTAAAGTGAATGAAAAAATCCAGACTGACAAGGTTCCCTTTTACAGTCATTATTCTACAAGATTTCCCATCAATGTCTGGTGTACATATTTTGTGTATTAATTGTACAGTGCATATCTACACAGTACACTTAGAACTAGTACAAACCACCTCTAGTGTAAATTAATGAATTTGGTACACCTCTAGACTTATGTATATTAGTGTACAGATTTTGTACACCTCTGCTTCCATTCTACACAATGTACATGCATCATTATCATTTGTATTCATGCCATATCAGAAACAAAGGTGTAGAAATAAAGAAAATCCATCAAATATAAACCATTGTGCGAGTTATCATTTATTTAAGGATATAACAGGTATTTGTGGAATGGTTTTGAGAAAAGGAAACCTGAAATTTTTTCTTTAGGCATTTTTCTGTTTCCCGCCCTATGCTTTGCTGTCAAAGAATAATAAAGAAGATATTGAAAGGCATAGCTTCCCTTGAAGAATAGATATGAACATGGCTTGGGTACAGGACTTTGTATCAAGCGAAGGAATTCTTTTGGATTGAGGACGGGACTTTCTTTTGTATCGAGCATAGGACCTTCTTTTGTATTGAGCATAGGACCTTCTTTTGTATCGAGCATAGGACCTTCTTTAGGATTGAAGACAGGACTTTCTTTTGTATCAAGCATAGGACCTTCTTTAGGATTGAGGACAGGACTTTCTTTTGTATCGAGCATAGGACCTTCTTTAGGATTGAGGACAGGACTTTCTTTTGTATTGAGCATAGGACCTTCTTTTGTATCGAGCATAGGACCTTCTTTAGGATTGAGGACAGGACTTTCTTTTGTATCGAGCATAGGACCTTCTTTAGGATTGAGGACAGGACTTTCTTTTGTATCGAGCAAAGGACCTTCTTTAGGATTGAGGACAGGACTTTCTTTTGTATCGAGCATAGGACCTTCTTTAGGATTGAGGACAGGACTTTCTTTTGTATCGAGAAAAGGACCTTCATTAGGATTGAGGACAGGACTTTCTTTTGTATCGAGCATAGGACCTTCTTTAGGATTGAGGACATGACTTTCTTTTGTATCGAGCATAAGACCTTCTTTAGGATTGAGGACATGACTTTCTTTTGTATCGAGCATAGGACCTTTTGGATTGAGGAGAGGACTTTCTTTTGTATCGAGCATAGGACCTTCTTTAGGATTGAGGACAGGACCTTCTTTAGGATTGAGGACAGGACTTTACAAGGATTTAGCATAAGCCTTTCTTCAGATTGAGCGAAGCCTTTCTTCAGATTGCACCCACAACATTTCTCAGGTTGAGCAGAAGTCTGTCTTAAGTTGGAGAATATTTAAGAATTCATGCCAGGAAATTAAACACAGCAATTCTGATGGCATGGATATTTCTAGTATCCAATTATCAGCAGTCACTTCCCAACTTTATCAGTACTTGAATGAATAGTAACAATATTTATGCAAAGTATAATAGGTGATAACATTGTATAGGTAAATCTGCAAAGAAAGCACCTTTATTAAACAATCTTCCGTCAATATTACCTCTCAACATCTCCATGAACAAGGACACATGACAGAAGTGTTCATTATACATCAGAATCATAGATGAATAGAACATCTGATTGAAAGCAAGGACTTCCCAGTTTCTGAACACAGATTTTAGAGTATAAACCTTCCACAGATTTCCTTGCCTTTTGTGTTTGAGATAGAAGATCTGTATTGAGTGTCATATTGCATTTTCATGACAAGTTCAATAATTTGAAGTCGGTTGATATGTCACATTATTCAAAGAGTTTAATGAATTCAAATACAACATGGCCATGTGTGAGATTCTATTTATGGTATAATTCATACCTATAAAAAAAAATTGAGAATCTCCCCGAGCCATTTACTGGTAAGAAACAGACAGCCAATTTTTTTAAGTTTAAGGGCTTTAGTTTTAACTCATTGTTGCTTCACATCCTATTAACAGCCAGGGACCTGCAGTCAGAAGCTGGTCACAACCACTTGGCCCAGGAGGCCCCTCAAATTGAAGAGGAAGTTATCTCTCTGTATAATGTTACAACATTGATAAAGTATGTACCTTTTACATTTACAATTACATTTAAAAATTGTTTTAAAAAATGTCAAAATGTTCCCCTAAACAAAATAGACAATAAAGAACAGAATCAGTAATATTTTATATAAATTCTTTAATCATTTTTAAAGTTGTCTCTCATATAAATAAATGATTTCTATTGAAAACTGGGAAAGTGAAAAATTAGTGGCACAAGCTAAACATCAAATTACAATGTTCTTCAAAACTCACAAAAGTTAAAGAAAAAGATGTTTAAAATATGCATAAAAATACATAGATAATTACCTTTTTATACATATAACACTTCACATTCAAACTCTTTTTTTTCTTAACAGTTAACATTTTCCTGTTGCAAGGTGATTTAATTTACACACAATATTTTGAAACCAACTTTCTACTGCATGTGTCTCTCATATACTTTCTGCGTATAGATTGCATTTTATGCAACATCTACATTTGTACATTTTTTCTTGATAACAATACTTTAAAAGGACTTCACATCAGAAGAACAATAAAATCATATCGGCTCACAAGTTCACAATGAATTTAAAAATTGTCACAGATAAGGCATCATTGCTGACAACATGTCTAAAAATAAATGAATGGAAAGGAACATTTCCTTGGAATTGGATGAAATACAAAGGCTTGGCACAAATAGAATAACACCATTAGTAGTACATGAGTATTGAATATTGTTATCGGGCATTCACACACTAAAGTATACCTTGTAAGAAAATGAATGGTGAAACAAAATACAAACAAATACGGGACAAAGTTTGTTTTCTCAAGTCAGGATGTACAGCCTAAGTATAACTGCCTTAAAGTTCAGCGCAATGTTTGGTCATGGTTTAGAATTGTTACATAGGGTTATATCACTGTATTCCATAATTTAAGACTGAACGAAAATTAGTACGTCATGAAAGACTTAAAAAACTTTTGACAACCTCTGGTTACATTGGGTCTAAAATGTCTTTGCAGAGAAGGCTGCTGACAATTAAGAAATTAAAATCAACTTTGAGACAAATAATTATTTTATACAAGATTCATACTTTTTGCTGTAGTATTTCATTTTTGGATATCTGATTATTTTTAGTACAAATTAAAGAGGAGTTTTGACTTGGACCATAGAATTGTGTTCCACAGGGTCTCCAAATCATCAGGAGATTGAGAAAACAAAGTACAACACACTAATTATCATTAAACACTTCCATACAAAACATTTCATCGTATCTTAAATTCTAAAATATCAGCATTTGCTGCATAATTTTTTCACAATTTCTGAGCAAATGGTGGATTTCATAATAATTAAAGCTGTCTTTTCTTCAATAAATTATATCAAATATTTATTTAAAGCCAAAAAATATTCTAATGATAATCTCATTTTATATCAATGCTAAATATCTTTGTACTTGCACTTACTTACGTATAAACTTAGTGCACAACGAAATTTTAAATATGACACTTTTATTGCATTTTTTTCAAAATTCCTTTTTTAAACATGTATGCCATATCACAGTTAACTGCTTAAGTGCATAAGTTTATCAAATAAATAATTGTTCTTTATAGAAAATTCTGTCCCTGAAGTCACTTGTCTTCCATGATTCAATCAGTTTGCTGCTTGAACTTCCTAAGTAGGGATAAAGATGCCACTCCAAAAAGGAATGTCTGGAATGTCCACTTCTTTGTTGCAGATGACGTTAAACCAAAACGGCTAAAAACAGTAAAGATCAGAATCAGGTTTAAATTTTAAAAGACAAAAAGTGTTGTTTATATGTATACCTAGATATTTCAGTCCTTTTTGTAGGATTTCTTATGGCAAGTCCAGAACACCTATTCCAAAATTTTAATGATGCCCAATATTACCAGATAAGGTGGGGGTCTCAGAATTTTATTAAGTCCCACAGGAAAAGCAGGAGTCCAGTGCTCAAATATCCAATTCCCAAAAACCCCTTTTTCGTATTGTGGAGGCAAGGGTTCTGAAGGTACTAGTCTACATAATATCAATCAACACGAAAATACAATCATCTAAAACAACAGATCCACGGGCGTTAACAGTCATCTGAACAGAAGTAGTAGTAGGACCAACTGTGAAATACCAAAATAGTCTGAATATCTTAGCAGTACATGCGAAAAAAAAAAAAAAACATCATTTCTTAAATCAGTTTCTCAACATTCCCACCAAAGTTCTGCTCAATGGCACTTGTAGAACTGGAGAAAAGTTTATTGGAAAATTTGGTTCTACAAGATGGTGGTCATGAGTATTGGATTTCGAACCAACTGAAAACTAGCAACACCTGATCAGGCAATCTCAAAATGTTTTCATGTAAGTTTCAGCTGAAACCCACCTGCAGAACTTGAGAAGGAGTTTGAAATGGGATTGTTCAGAAAAACCATGGTTGCCCAATCAAGTTACAAAATGGCTGTCATAGTTGCCATGTCAAACCAAAAAATGACAACACTGTCAGCTTTCTATCCTTCACATTTCAACCAATTACTGGCTCAATGGTGTTAATAGAAACGATAACAATTAAACATGTGTTTTGTAAAAAGCCCAAATGGCAAAATTGGATTCTGGACCAAAAAACACTTGGTAAAGACCATCTCTGGATCATTTCAGGCTAGTTTCAGCTGAATCCCACAGGTGGAACTTGAGAATTAGTTTAAAGTGTGAAAAGTTAATGCACTGCAGATAGCATCAGAGGAAAACAATCTTGATCCTTTGACACAGATGACACAATAAGTAAGAGATCTACACCTTACAACCTTGGGAATCATACATGTAGAATATTTACCATACATGTGTAGAATATTTACCATACATGTGTAGAATATTTACCATACATGTGTAGAATATTTACCATACATGTGTAGAATATTTACCATATATGTGTAGAATATCTACTGTACATGTGTAGAATGTTTACCATACATGTGTAGAATATTTACCATACATGTGTAGAATATTTACCACACGTGTAGAATATTTACCATACATGTGTAGAATATTTACCATACATGTGTAGAATGTTTACCATACATGTGTAGAATGTTTACCATACATCTGTAGAATATTTACCATACATCTGTAGAATATTTACCATACATCTGTAGAATATTTACCATACATGTGTAGAATATTTACCATACATGTGTAGAATGTTTACCATACATGTGTAGAATGTTTACCATACATCTGTAGAATGTTTACCATACATGTATAGAATATTTACCATACATGTGTAGAATATTTACCATATATGTGTAGAATATCTACTGTACATGTGTAGAATGTTTACCATACATGTGTAGAATATTTACCATACATGTGTAGAATATGTACCATACATGTGTAGAATATTTACCATACATCTGTAGAATATTTACCATACATGTGTAGAATATGTACCATACATGTGTAGAATATTTACCATATATGTGTAGAATATCTACTGTACATGTGTAGAATATTTACCACACGTGTAGAATATTTACCATACATGTGTAGAATGTTTACCATACATGTGTAGAATATTTACCATACAAGTAGAATATTTACCATACATGTGTAGAATGTTTACCATACATCTGTAGAATGTTTACCATACATGTGTAGAATATTTACCATACATCTGTAGAATATTTACCATACATGTGTAGAATATTTACCATACATGTGTAGAATATTTACCACACGTGTAGAATATTTACCATACATGTGTAGAATATATACCATACATGTGTAGAATATTTACCATACATGTGTAGAATGTTTACCATACATGTGTAGAATGTTTACCATACATCTGTAGAATATTTACCATACATCTGTAGAATATTTACCATACATGTGTAGAATATTTACCACACATGTAGAATATTTACCATACATGTGTAGAATGTTTACCATACATGTGTAGAATGTTTACCATACATGTGTAGAATGTTTACCATACATCTGTAGAATGTTTACCATACATGTGTAGAATATTTACCATACATGTGTAGAATATTTACCATATATGTGTAGAATATCTACTGTACATGTGTAGAATGTTTACCATACATGTGTAGAATATTTACCATACATGTGTAGAATATGTACCATACATGTGTAGAATATTTACCATACATCTGTAGAATATTTACCATACATGTGTAGAATATTTACCATACATGTGTAGAATATTTACCATATATGTGTAGAATATCTACTGTACATGTGTAGAATATTTACCATACATGTGTAGAATATTTACCATATATGTGTAGAATATCTACTGTACATGTGTAGAATATTTACCATACATGTGTAGAATATTACCATACATGTGTAGAATATTTACCATACATGTGTAGAATATTTACCATACATCTGTGACCATCTGTGTTTTTTAACTCTTTGCTTATTAAAGGAAACAAATATTTCTGAAAGCTCACAAAAAAACAGTTCAGTTGCAGTTTGTAGCCAAGATAAACATCTTAGATTATTGGACATTTACATATATACAAGTGTAGATCTGTATCAAATCTGTTCAATACAAATCGTGCAGCACCCCCCCTGACCAACCCACCTACTTGAGACTGACGCTGGCTCTTCATTCTTCAGTTTAAATCTGATAAAAACGCCATTACCACAGGTGATGGTGCATAAGACCAGATTTCAGTATACGACATTTCACATTCCCAAGAATCACAAATATAGCAAGTTTTTCTATTGACAAACTTTGGTATGAAAGAGATCAGATAAATTTTTAGGTAAACAACTTACCGACACAACATATAGGCATAAATAGCTTCTGCTACATGAATGGCAATGGTTCCCAAAAACCTAGTCAACAGAACAATTCATATCAACAGAAAAGAATAATCTTGTAGAAGTACATCTTATTGCACATATATTATTTTAGGATACAATCCAATTATCCTAATATATCAAATTATATACACATATATACATACTGCTTTTTCTGTAAACATACAAATTTTATTTTCTTCGATGTATACTCTGGCAGGCAACACGAAATAGAAATGGACACAAAAGACTTTTGTTTCACTTTTCTATTTTTTTCATTCTCATCATTCAGGTAAACAATTTGGTTGACTTCATCATTTCACACCTGAAATATCTTATTTCTAAGCCTAACATAAGATTTATATACCTAATTCATTGATTTCCCTAAGTTTTCAGATATGGTCACATGACTTTGCAGTGATATTACTGGTACATCAGAGGGTTAAGTATTATCAGAAGTTGTTTATCTTCTGTTTTGGTAGTAAATTTAAAATCTTAAATAGAACTGGGTGACATTGCAAGCTGTCTTTGAATGGGATATCTATTAACGAGTGTCAGGTTATCAAAGTAATTATGCTCTCCCTCTCATGTAACAAGTAAAACCAAGTCAATTAAGCATTGGAGGGAAAAAGTATCATATTCATGTACTGACTGAAGTTCAAAACTGACGTACTGACTGAAGTTCAAAACTAACATACTGACTGAAGTTCAAAACTGATGTACTGACTGAAGTTCAAAACTGATGTACTGATGTACTGACTGAAGTACAAAACTGATGTATTGACTGAAGTTCAGAAGTACAAAACTGATGTACTGACTGAAGTACAAAACTACTGTACTGACTTAAGTTCAAACCTGACTGAAGTTCAGAAGTACAAAACTGATGTACTGACTGAAGTACAAAACTACTGTACTGACTGAAGTTCAAAACTGATGTTCTGACTGAAGTTCAAAACTGACATACTGACTGAAGTTCAAAACCGCTGTACTGACTGAAGTTCAAAACTGATGTACTGACTGAAGTACAAAACTGATTTACTGACTGAAGTTCAAAACTGATGTACTGACTGAAGTTCAAAGGTTATACTTCAGAACTAACACACTCTACAGTATGATAATCAGCAGGGTTGTCAAAGATATTAATTTATCATTACTTGTTAGATATACTCTTTTAATTTCAATTCAAACAACAAGATTATCATAAATCCAAGTTTAAACAATTTTGTTTCTAACAAAACAATGTTGTACAAATGTCACAAAGAAGTCTAATTTTGCATATACAAATGTAATATTTTGTAATCAAATTTCACGTGACCCTGAATTTGTAAACCTCCTACCATGAGAATAAACTTGCCATCTTACAAATGTTTTAAGATTTAATTACAAAATTAACAATACACAAAACTATGAAATACTCACCAATATTATTACTTGATGCAGTAATTCATTTTAGTTCTGTATATGTAATACAAAAATTGAGTAGGTAATAATGGTATATAACAATTAAAATGTGACAACTTACATGTACCAGGTGATTTGTGGTTTTTCTGTCCCCATGTATCGTCCAAGACTTCCCACCTTACCAAGATACCAGGGGATCTTATCTGGTACAAATGTGGCCATCTAAATTCAACAAGAAGAAGGTCATAATTACTTAATGACAAAACAAAACTGCGAGCAACATGTTTTCTTGCTTCCAGACAAACCTAATATGACGTAAAAAATCTTTTAACTCTATGTATATTGAATCATATTCCCACCACTATTTCTATGAGATATAGACCTGGATGAGGGTGATCAAAATTTTCATTGAGCTAGACGAAATATACCGTACGGCTAGTGAAAACATTGTTACCTTGGTAAATACTAGACGAAATATACCACCCGGCTAGAGACAAAATTGTTACCTTGGTAAATACTAGACGAAATATACTGCTCGGCTAAAGAGAACATTGCTACCTTGGTAAATACTAGACTCAATATACCAATCGGTCAGAGAGAACATTGCTACCTTGGTAAATACCAGACTCAATGTTACCTTGGTAAATACTAGACTCAATATACTGCTCGGCTAGAGAGAACATTGTTACCTTGGTAAATACTAGACTCAATATACCGCTTGGCTAGAGAAAACACTGATATCTTGGTAAATACTTGACTCAATGTACAGTCAGCTAGAGAGAACATTGTTACCTTGGTAAATACTAGATGCAATATACCGCTCGGCTAGAGAGAACACTGTTACCTTGGTAAATACTAGATGCAATATACCGCTCGGCTAGAGAGAACATTGTTACCTTGGTAAATACTAGACTCGATATACCGCTCATCTAGAGAGAACATTGTTACCTTGGTAAATACCAGACTCAATATACCGCTCGGCTAGAGAGAACATTGTTACCTTCATAAATACTAGACTCAATATACCGCTCGGCTAGAGAGAACATTGTTACCTTGGTAAATACTAGATGCAATATATCGCTCAGCTAGAGAGAACATTGTAACCTTGGTAAATACTAGACTCAATATACCGCTCGGCTAAAGAGAACACTGTTACCTTGGTAAATACCAGACTCAATGTTACCTTGGTAAATACTAGACTCAATATACTGCTCGGCTAGAGAGAACATTGTTACCTTGTTAAATACTAGATGCAATATACTGCTCGGCTAGAGAGAACATTGTTACCTTGGTAAATACTGGACACAATATACTGCTCGGCTAGAGAGAACATTGTTACCTTGGTAAATACCAGACTCAATATACCGCTCGGCTAGAGAGAACATTGTTACCTTGGTAAATACTAGATGCAATATACTGCTCGGCTAGAGAGAACATTGTTACCTTGGTAAATACTAGATGCAATATACCGCTCGGCTAGAGAGAACATTGTTACCTTGGTAAATACTAGACTCAATATACCGCTCGGCTAGAGAGAACATTGTTACCTTGGTAAATACTAGATGCAATATACCGCTGGGCTAGAGAGAACACTGTTACCTTGGTAAATACTAGATGCAATATACCGCTCGGCTAGAGAGATCATTGTTACCTTGGTAAATACTAGATGCAATATACCGCTCCGCTAAAGAGAACACTGTTACCTTGGTAAATACTAGACTCAATATACTGCTTGGCTAGAGAGAACATTGTTACCTTGGTAAATACTAGATGCAATATACCGCTCGGCTAGAGAGAACATTGTTACCTTGGTAAATACTAGACTCGATATACCGCTCATCTAGAGAGAACATTGTTACCTTGGTAAATACTAGATGCAATATACTGCTCGGCTAGAGAGAACATTGTTACCTTGGTAAATACCAGACTCAATATACTGCTCGGCTAGAGAGAACATTGTTACCTTCGTAAATACTAGATGCAATATACTGCTCGGCTAGAGAGAACATTGTTACCTTGGTAAATACTAGACTCAATATACTGCTCGGCTAGAGAGAACATTGTTACCTTGTTAAATACTAGATGCAATATACTGCTCGGCTAGAGAGAACATTGTTACCTTGGTAAATACTGGACACAATATACTGCTCGGCTAGAGAGAACATTGTTACCTTGGTAAATACTAGACTCAATATACCGCTCGGCTAGAGAGAACATTGTTACCTTCGTAAATACTAGATGCAATATACTGCTCGGCTAGAGAGAACATTGTTACCTTGGTAAATACTAGACTCAATATACTGCTCGGCTAGAGAGAACATTGTTACCTTGTTAAATACTAGATGCAATATACTGCTCGGCTAGAGAGAACATTGTTACCTTGGTAAATACTGGACACAATATACTGCTCGGCTAGAGAGAACATTGTTACCTTGGTAAATACAAACCATAACATAGCGCTCAGCTAGTGGGAATGAATTTCTTTTAAAGAATATCTGTAACACACTGCTTGGCTAGAAAGAACTTTCACTCAAGTTTGATTGGTTTGGCGAAATACTACGTAGCCAGAGGTCCTTGGTTCGAATCTTACCAGAGACATTTGTTGGAATAAATCATGAATTGGGAAGAAGTTTAAAATGTAAAAAGTGTATGCATGACAAGGGATGAAACACAAAGGCTTTAAGTCAACAGATGATCTTGAAATAGGAAATATCTACAAGACATGAATGCCTGGCTCCTATACAAACCAGGATCTGAACAAGTGTTGAAGATCATGTGACAGTATGGGTTATTTGAACGAAAAAAAATTGTTGACTCATTCTCTCAAGATATAACATTAATCTGAAACAAGATTGGAAGTGACATGACAACATGGCACAGATGGGAAATGTGATTGAAGAATTTCGAAATTTTAACTTTAGAACCTTAAACAAAATAGTCTGCTGAAACTGAACACAAAAATATTTCTGCAGGATTTTGAACATCACGTCCAGCACACTGCTTTTAAAATTTTGCAGAGTCTAAATCAGAAGACTGTGTGTTCTCAAAATTTGGACAAGTCCCACAATAACAGCATGAATTCTGGACACAAATATCTGAGTTTTGAAAATCTCTTGGACAGACACCTTTAATTTACAAAAAAGCCACAGACTAATATTCTTGAGACACAATTATAATCAGTTTTAGTAATCTGAAATGTCATATTCATGTTGACATATTTGTTTGGTGTGATCCTTTCTCATTTCTTTGAAAAATCTCAAGATTTTTTAGACATCTTCAAAATAAGTTTTACAATAAAGCAAAGAGGAAAGTCTGTTTTCATTTCCAAATGGCACACTTCATATGCCCCTCTCCCACCTCCCAATTTTTTGTAAAAAGTATTGGTGTAAGAACATCATCATTGTTCTTTGAATGACTTATGAAAATACAAGATATTCTTCCCCTGGCCATGTATGGAAACCCAGTTTGATATGCTAAATGCTGAATATAAATTGCTTTATGCTGAATGCTCAATGCTGAATGCCTAATAAAATGAAGGTTAATGTGTAATGTATTCATCAGGATTAAGTAGATTTATTGGGGACAATCTAACTGGAAAACACACATAAAAACACCCATGGTTTCCTGAACTGTAGGTACAGACATACAGTGGCTGTACAGTATTCAGCATCACAAATCTCTAAGGCTTAAAAGGAATATCACATGAAACGGTCTTAGTCACAAGTTTGGTTTCATTCAGTTCTGTTACATTGTAATTTAAATATAACTACCACCAAGATCGTGCTGTTCAAATATATCCCAAGACCTGTTTTAGGCAGTCAAAAGTACTTGTTACGCATGAGTGAGAAATGTAATGAGGTGAAAGGTCACATGGCACATGTAACATCAAAGTCTTACTTCAACTGACAATGTCTAATATGTAAAAGTAGTTTGAAAGAAGACACTTCTAATACAATTCCGTTATATTTTTTTTGCAATACCATTGATAGAAAGTGAATATTCTACTTTTACTAAACACTTACAAAACTTTTTAAGTAAAACCTAGAGGAAAATTTACATTGAAGGATCACGATATTCAATTATACATAGACAATGTATGTACATCTCTGTATACATGATCGTGGTAAGAACTGCTATTACTCTTAAGAAATAACTTTTGATATATAACATGGTTTCACTTTGTTAGTTTCGTTAACATTCCAAACGTGTGCGTGAGTCTACAATCCTAACATAAAGAAGAGAATTATGCAGATATCAAGTATTAATTATCAAAAAAGAATATGAATCCCAGAGACAATTCAGTAGTAAATGTATTTAAACTAGATGGCTCAAGGATTTTGAGCTCTGAGATTCCTTTACTTATACAGTACTAATGTCTGTATCAGAAAAATAACTTACAATTATGAAATCATCTGCAAGGCAAGGTGACATGACTGATTTATATATACAGATGCATGTAGTGTGGGTGTGTGTGCACAAGTGGGGCAAGTTGTTGTACATGTCAAAACAGTGGTCCCAAACACTGTCCATTTTGTTCACATTGTGATTATAACAGGTTCATAAAAGAAACAAAACAACCATGTAACACCTGTGGTTAATCGCATAAATGAAGGGTCAACAGTATCAAATGTTATTATCTTCATTTTGTTTTGCTGTCATCTATCTTGAAAGAGTCATATACGATTTACTTTTTTCCTACATCTTCAATTATTATGCAAAAAAAGTCAGTTTGATTTGGTCTTGAACTTGTTAATCGTTACCGAGAACATGAAAAAAAGTTTAATATTTTCCTTAAGATTTCTGATCTTATGCATTGGTCATCAGCTTGATTCTGAGGTGTTGTTGAAAAGAGTATATCCGAGTGTGGAATGCCCCGACACAATTATGTATGTATGTATAAACCATAGAACGATAATATCAGGTATGCTTGGCTTTTAAGAACACAATTCAAGGAGATATGATATGAATTGTCGGAAGGAAAAAAGTGTCATTTCCTCTATATCTCTGTAATGTCCGCACCCCCTTTTTTGGATTGATTTTCGGTGAAAAAAAGTGCGGACATTACATGGGTTTTTACGGTATGTAACAAACAAGGCAACAGTTTTATGTGCTATCACCAAACTTCACACCATGAAAATTTAAAACGATTTTGAATGTTTGTAAATTGATATAGGCCTTGGTAGTAGTGTCTTATCAGGTGAATAGAACATTGCTATCGCTGAAGTAACACTTTGACATCATGCATCACCTGACCTAGTTTCACATCCAAAATATGCATATTTACCAGACTAAGCTAAAGGGGACAGGACCAGTTTTTGCAGTGATATGTGTGCCAAGAGATACAGGTACCAACTACATACATGACTGCATCATTTTGGGCTGAAATACGGCATTATGAAAAGCCAAAACCTTAAAGTATTTCACTTAGAGAATTTAGAAAAAGTTAGTTTTCAGTATATGAAGGGTCACAAACAAATGGCAACAAATTTAAACTTTATACTTGGACCCTTTAAGAACCATTTTTTTTTCGCTAGTTATGCTATGTTGATGAACTGCCACCAAACAAAGACATAAATGACTTGAAATGTGTTCTTAATATAAGATTTATTTAAAAACTGACTGGTGAAATACCAGTATTTTTCAAAGAAAAAAAATAGATACAACCTCAAATTCCCTCGTCTGAAATGATCTGAAATTATAGACCATGTGTATCAGACATGTGACTGCACTTTCGTTTCTGATGACATCACTAAATCTCAGATATGCTTGAGCTAGCTTAGTGTGACCCAGAAGTACTCATACAATCATCATTAGATAGGAAATGACATTCTAAAGAAAAAGAAAAATCAAAACATATTTATGGTGCGAAGGTGGCGGATATCTGTGTTTATGTGTGCACCTTAATCCCTTTTTGTCTCAAATAAGCCATATTTCTTGACAAACTTTTTTATAACACAAACTATTCAAATAAAGTTTATTTTTTTCATCTCTTGTTCTACAACTTGCTAAAATACACAAATCTGCCAATGAAATATATACTCATAATATTTTATAGTGAATACTACTTTCGACAAAAATACATTACGGTCCGAACATATGTCAAGACGATATATATATACGACACCTTAAGCCAACAAACGTTCATTATAAAAATATATATATGTGTGTATTAAATTGACATTAGGGCATCTGGAAATCTTTAAATACATCAGAAGTATTTCGTATGTAGCATAAAACATTTGACATAAAGCATTCAGTATGTCGTACAAGCTTTCTATAGCCGCGTGACCTATGTCACAACTTTCATTTTCCAATCTAAATCTGTGAAATCATGACCTGTCGTCGTGCAGCATCTCGAACGGGCACCTGCTCTGAACTTACTGTTAATAAAACTAGTCCGAAACCTATCAAACCCGTCCAAAATGGACTTGCAGTGCGAAAATAATCCTTCCTGCTCATCTCTGCTTCCCTGTCGAGTCTACCCCGTTCTAAGTGACGAGACTTTGCCACTAATGACCGACATTTGGTGTCAAGGTCGTTTAATGATTTCCAGCCTCGTGCTCGTCTGGGACGATGGGTTTGTTAGTTAGACTTGCCCATGTCCCGATTAATAACAGTCATAATTATAACCACGAACAAAGCTCGGTTTTCAAGCATTAATTAAAGCACTGTACCGCCATTAATCAAACAGAAATCATAAAAAACAAAACAAATGTAAATTGAATGAATTATTTATTTCAACAGAATCATAATCCAAATGCATGAAAACTAGGTGAAAATATTAACAAACGAAATATTTACACAGAGACTCTTTAAAAAGTAAGGTTATTCTAAGTCTGTGACGTAACCAAATTGCAAATGTGCATATTTGTACCGTATATAGATAGATGTTAGTTATTTATTATACCTTTGCACTACATACATTTTTGTTTAATAATTTACCTGCCTTCCGTTTATGGGCGTATGCATGCCAACAGGACAATGGCAAATTCAATGAAGAATTTGTTATAAGAGTGGAAGGCATAAGGCATGATCTGTATTATACGCCCCTTGTGCATTTCCCTCAATCTGTTTGCATTACTTCAATATTCCCAAGTCGTTAGAAGTTAGCGTTTGGTTATACAGTAGCAGTCACTGACTTATATATGAAAACTATTTGCATTATTTATCGTGCAACCTCATATTATTTTCTGTTGATCTGATAAAACAATTTTACATAACTTTTAACCTGATATGAAAACTATTGATATATACTTCACCTGTTATCTAATCACATAATATTTACTGTATACAACAGAATATATAACAATAGGGTTTTCATTGTTCAGATCAATACATGTATTTGTTTATTTCAGATTTATATTGAAACACTATGGTGTATTTGTGTGTCAAATCACAGAAAACATTTCACTCAATGCTGCATGGATATCTGGTTTTTTGTTTGTTTTGTCTGTTGTTTTTTATCATGCCTGCTAAGGTTATGATATGAGTCAAATGTGTTATACAACGGAATCAATTATAACGTATGTCCACGATTTTTTGTATAAAGAATATTATTCATTTCATTTCAAGGCCTAAATCTAGCTTAAATCTCACCTGATAATTGGAATCTAACTGACAGTTAGTTCGTCTGCTAATGGTAAAATTCTAATTCACGAAACGGTACGGCTGTTTAGTATGATATAATAAATTATCTTATTTCTTGTACTTAAAATAGTCCGCTAACATTGCACGTGTTTAAATAGTTTTAGATGACTGGTGGATAATCTTTTTACTTGATGAGGTCAAAGTTGGTGTCAAACGGGGTCGCACGAGATTTTTTTTAGGTCAAGCAGACCTCCTGACGTCACTTCCCATCATTCGTAGCTGTTCATGTCTGCCGTCATTCAACGAAGGTGAGGGTGTATAGGTGCGCCTTGTTTTGTGTCAAAAAGTTGCCGTATGGACAATTAATAATGGCCTAAGCGACTCGAATGAACAGAAAAAGATGGGAGATTTATACCATGGGTATTGTCTCTCATGGACTGGCTTTTTTAGAGAGATAATTCTCCGTTTATTCCGATGCTGAAGTGAACAAAATGGCAGCTCATCCAAAGTTTGACAAAATGGCAGTCACAGTGGATAACTCTTCGTCGAATTCTAGTGTATATGACACGAACAATAAGGATGATTTAGATCATAGACCTCTTATGGGAAGTATGAAAACCTTATCAGATGGTTTGCATAAAAAGAAAAGCACATTCAAAATCACGAGCGTGACGAAAAACATTCAGCGCCCCCCGATTGGAGGGGACCCCCCAAACGATGCAGATGGTGATTCAATGGATGATTTAGACGAGACTGTGGAGAGTCATACAGAAGAGCTTAGTTCAGAAATCCTAGATAGTTCCAAATATACGGATCTAGGTGACCAGGATACGCCTCTAGAGGATTTTACCCAGACTTTTGGCCAGGACTCGGAAGTGATAATCAGCAACACTGTCGGTAAGGAGGTCACAATCACAAGTAAAGAGAAAACTGATGTTCATTCTAGTACGACCACACGGTTTAAAGTGGTGAAAATAGAGACCAAAGAACCATTTAGGAGGGGTAGATGGCTGTGTCATGATTTGCTTGACACGCCAGTGACAGAAAAGAGTGAAACAAAGGTAGTTCGAGACCAGACAGATGATCAAGCTAATTCTGGTAATTCAAGTGCTTCGAGTTCTATACATTATGTTCCTGGTGTTGATGATCCGGCCAAGAATCCATTATCGGTGACAGGATTGCAGAACCAAGGAACAGATGGATATATCATTCAAAGTGATAATCAGAGTGATAAATTCCAGTCTAAACAGCAACAAGGGATGGTGCCCAGTTCCCAGGATGGTGCACATTCCTACAACCAACCTAATCCAAATGTGTCCCAGATTCCTATTAGTTTACCAAACCATCCATCACAAAACTACCAGGGCATCGTTGTAAATGCTGGGGCAGGATCCCCTGGTCAGTCCAGACAAGGTCTCCCTCAGACAGGCCCAGTTTCTGGACATGGTGGGTCTATCCCACAAGGCCATGTACAAAAACCTATGCAAGTCCAGACTCCAATTGTAGATAATGCTAATCCCAATTCGCAACATTCAGCAATGCCAGCTTCTGTTTCTTCAGGCACATCACAAATTCCAAACAGCATTACCGGACAAATGCCTCCTACTTTGAATGATCAGATGAAACTGCAACAGGGTATGGGTCCTGTTCCAAATGTGCAGACTCATATCAACCAAAGTACTGTAGACTCTAGCTCTAGTCCAGCATCCAATAAAGATAATGTGCACTGGAATGAGTTGGATGGGGTCGAGGGTCAGACTTCAATTTTAAACATTGCTGCTAGTCAGTCTTACATTGACCAAACAGGCCTAGATAGTAGACTTACTCACCAATTGAAACCGGTAACAGTTCCTGCCAATTTAAGCGATTTTTCATCCCCAATACTGACGCCATTAGCTGTTGCTGAAGCTGTTGGTGGCATGTCTAGTCCAACGAAAGCAGATGAAAGGTAAACTTCATCTCATTATGTAACCTGGTTCGAAAGACCATCATATTCATCAAAGCATTTGCTTACAGATCATTAATATGCAAGCTCATAGATTTGGGCATTTATTATTTAATCCTCTAGGAAGAGAGCAATTTCATGAGCAAATTTTTCAATTTTATCGCCCCATACTTAAAAAAATTGACTTATTTCGTAATGTCTCATATGATTGGCCAAAGTAACAGTGTCGGAAGTTGTTGTGAATGTGAAAAATTTTGCAATTTGTGATTAGATTATAACCATTATCATAAATGAATTTTTATATCATTGATCCTTAATACAAAAGATTTAGTGTACCATTGGCTTGAATCATGGTTAAATTTTGAGTACATTTTTTTTTTCTGTTTTTTTTTTTTTATGGCTCAATAATTTTAAGCTACTATGAATTATGGGTTGAAAAGATGCAGACAATTTTCAGTATCTTGATTTGGTACAGTAATATGGTATAGGGATGAAGTGTATGTGTGTAAGTATTTATTGTGTCATGATATACGGTAAACCTCTGGTCAGTTCAAATAGGCAGGTGTTTCGAACAGAAGATTTTTTCTTTTTACCAGAAACAGTTTCTATCTAACTCTTCCTATTCTGGTTTCACATATAAGTTAGATGATTTGAACGCATTGATATTGTGAGATTGTGTATATGACTAACGATAGGTTAGGATATTGGGATAGCATGAATAGTTGCTCCATGTGATCGTTTTAATTTAAGTTGAAACAAATGTTCAGGTTTACCATGTACTACTATCAAGAAACTACAATACAAACAGAAATTGTGTCAAGTGTAAAAAAAAATGTAATAGCGAAGTATCCATCCTTTACATGGTTATAATGCACATCCAACTTGGACAGTTACAATTTTCAGTAAAAGCCAAATTCACTCGTACACTTAGAGAAACCAAGATGTGAAACAAGGGCTTACATGAGATGGTCTAGTTTCCAATCAAGGTGAAATCTATCTTGATAATGCAGTAGATACAACAATTTGAACAAGGGAGAGGGGCTTCTGCCAAGCAAAACACTGACCATGGTTCATGGATAGTTGAAATGCTGACTTGAAAACACCATTGTGAGGTACCATCCAAACAGTGAACCAGATAGCCAGTTACCTATTCTGGCATTAAAGATAACTGCATCAAGGTTATCCTACTTATTACATGAAATAGATAAATGTTAGACTTGCAGATATGCTTTATGATTATATAAACACTAGTTGGACGATATTAATAATCCTAAATCTACAGGCATAAGTCATAATGCACCATCTGCATATTGATATTTTTATATGTTAACTTCAGCCAATACACGAGCAGACATGCTTTTTGGGGGCTTTCATGGTTTCTATGTCACAAAGTAACAATATCAATGCGATTTTGGGTGACATTGACTCTGAAAGTTAAATACTTATTTATTTTTTCACAATCTTAATTCCTATAATTTGGACAGGTTCAGAATTAATTTTTTTCTATTTTGTTTGGACTGACTGAAGGATTTCCATAATATTATGCAATATTGGACATAAAGCTCATACCATATTCATTGATAAAGAATTGAAATTAAAGCAATGACTGGGCCAGTGGCCCTATTTTTCCATCACAATTTCGAAAAAAATACTAGCTGTATTGCAGGAAAAAAAAAATGAGTCAAAAAAAAAAATACAATCTTTAATAGCTGTCTTCACAGATACATCATCATATGTCTATACTGACACATAAAAACTTTCAGTAGCATCATAAATACAGTTTAATCAGTAAGTTTTTGTCAATTAACCAATTTTATGACGGTAGAGTACAGAACTTTAATTGATATCACCGATATCAATGCAACACCAGTATATTTAATATTTGAAATGGTCCACACCTTTTCATTGTATTTCAGTTGTTTGTTTATTGATAAACATCTTTGATAACTATAATTGCCTAATCAGTACATTTGCAGTATTCTGTTTCATACCAGTCGCTTGCAGTGGACATGCTGTATTTTTTTGAAGCTGTGTTGTTTCCAGCTGTATCATCTTCCGAAAAATATCAACGATATGGAACAAAACATTATTTCAAGATAGCAGTGCAAGTTGTAAAGCTGTCCAATTTGGATTTTAAAAATTATAATTTTGAAACGTATCGTCTATTTTCGCTTATTTGAGGGCTTTTCATACTCTTAAGCATTGGACTGAAATATGATTGTGCTAGATGTCTTTTCTCTGTATTGTGAACAATTATTACTAATATGTGAATTCATCAGTGTGTTAATTTTTCGAGAAGTGATTATGCACTGAAAGTCTATTGTGTTAGTTTATAATACATTGATAAAGTTTTCAGAATGCTTGTGAGATGTCTCCCTGAGATGACACTTTTTTATTGCCATTTGTCTTCATATATGTAAGGAAGTGCAGAAATTTTAGTGTCTGCCTAGCTTGGAAATGGGTACTGATATCTCCGAGTATAAAAGGCTTACAACCTGTCATATCAGTTTTTAAAGTGACATCATTAGATCAATGACACTCTCTTGACAGACCCTGAGTTTCAGGGACCCCTCAAATTATACTGTGTGCTAGGCGTTTCCAGAGACTTGGCAGGACTCTGACAATGTTCACTGTACCAGGTGGATATATTAGGGCACCTTTTTGTACTCAAGAAGAGACAGGGATATACAAGCCATCCCTCTCATGTCTATTTAATGCTGATTTCTTCTATTAAAGCAAATGATAAACTTGTAATTTTGAATGTAAACCAACTAACCAACCATATCAAACATATCAAACCGGTTATTGTGTCATCACCAATTGAAGTGTAACACACCTGCAACATGTGCAATGTGACAGCAATTGTGCATGCATACCCCATTTTAGAATTCTTTACTTTCTCATCACGCACCAACAGATTATTAATGTACCTTATTTATGAATTCTTGACTTTCTCATCACACACTAATAGATCATTAATTTTCCAAAGATTGTATCCATTCATTGGTGATCACTACTTTTTTTTGTCAAATTCAGTGATATGCATGCATTGCACTAGAATTGAAACCGGTTTGACAGGTTGTGTGCCTTAATACCCAAAGAAACCTAAACCTGTTCCCAAGGATGTTAGATACCAAAATGTCTGCACTTCCCTAGATGCAATGACCAGAATAAAGTGTTGTTGCACTCACAGGTGAACATCTATGAATCATTTTGAAAATTCCGGTAAGCAGGACCAGAAAACGCCAATGAAGATCTTCTGTAACTTTATTAGTCGACTAGTTTCGGCACACTAGGTATGCCGTCCTCAGAACAGTGCAAATTCAAAAAGCAGGACTTTATATACTCCTGTGCCTAGCAACTACACATGTTATTTCCACCAATGTCAAAGAGAGTACACTAGTTACAATGACGTAATTAATTGGTGACATCATAATGCAAGTAAACAGATAATAGCGGAGTTCCGCTTTGCCCTAGGCTAATGCTATGTAATGTACAAATATCAATAAAAGGAAATTATAAGATTGATAAAGAGATACAGCAATTAACAACGTTATCTATGGTATATATACCAATGAATAAATATATGAGAAGTCTATCCTACGGCTGGAAATATTAAAACAGGTATGTAGGAAATGTTCGTTCCTACTACAGCTGTCATTAGAATCTAATTTTCATTTTGAAAATTGTAATTTTGTTATTGGTTTTTTCAAATCCAAATTTGAAAGCTTTCTAACTTCAGATATTTGTTCTAATAATTGCCCATACTCTACTAATCACCCATTCTTTGAATTCAAAATTTAAATATGATCTGAGTCTTTCTAGTATGTGACCAACTGTCCTCTTGTTTCTCTTCATTATGTGTTCAAGTTTCATCTTGATGAATTATGAAACATCGTAAAATAGTTGCCGGGAGTAGCCCAAACAGTGCAGATTTTTTACGTAAACAAAAGCTGCCTTGATTTCTGTTGTAGAATTGTAGGACTGTATACTCCATGATCACAAAGTCAGTAAATATATGTCCATCCTGAATAAGGACTATAAATAATATCTGAGATCTCCTAAATCTATTGACAAAGCCATGTATTTACAGTTTGCAATGGCTTGTTCTATTTTTGGAAACACCAAACAAACGTGGGGGTAGATTTGCTGTAGAGTTGAAAACCATTAAAATGACATATTATTGATGTTTTAATGCTAAGAAATGTTGCTGGGTCTTTTTAAATTCATGGAAGTGCCATCGTCTTTGCAGAAACCTGTCTAATTGTTTTCTATTTTGTGTATAGGGCAAGTCTAATGTTGCTGTAAAATAGTTTCGTCATTTTACAAAATGTCGTAGTTTTGTTAAGTGGATATGAAACAGGATAAGCAGGACAAAGTCATTTCTTATTTAGAAAGTTGATATGAACACCAGGGATCTGGAGTTGAAGATTCAAAATGGGAAAGAGAAAATGTTTTGATTCAAAATTCTACTTTTCCTTAATGCTTGAATGTATTTCATTCAAATTTTGTCTGAAGCATCATTTGATGAGGGCAATCGTATCTTATATTTAGAGAGTTGATTCAATTCAAAGGGACTTGGAGTTGGAGCCTCAAAAAGGGAAATCAACGATGTTTTGATTCAAAATGCTACTCTTCCTTAATGCTTGAATGGATTTAGTAAAAATTTTGCCTGAAACAATAACAGAGGTGGTAAATTAATTCTCAAATTTAGAAAGTTAATTTGACCACTAGGGAATTTAGGATGGGGTCTCAAAAGGGGAAGTACTGCAATACAGTAAATTAAGTAGGGCTATGATAGCATAGTTTAATCTTTTTTTTGAAATGTCAGTAAATGAACTAGAAAATTAATTTCTGCTTTCTCCTTCTATTGTTTATTCATCCAAACAACAAAACATGTTATAACAACTCCAATCAAATACATGGGTATTCATGTCATTCCTCCCCACACACACGTACAATACCCTTACTGACCAAGCACATATACATCATATTTTTTATGG